AGCAATGATATAAGCAGTGAGGATTAAAGTTGCAATCCGATTGCGTTCGCGCGTTTGGATCTTTGGTCTGAAACATTGCATTGCGTCTGTTCTCGTTCCAATTAATTAATATTGTAGCCTCTGTCACCGCGCCTTAATTGAACACGCCTCTTAGCGCAGGCAATCTCCTTCAAGAAACGATTACGAAGTCAGATGGCACCGTCTTATCAGGCCGTATATATGCCGATAAGTATCATACGCGATCATGGAATCGTGGGCGTATCGCGCGTTTGGATTAAAAGAAATCGAATTAACTGCTATTGTAACGATCGACAGGTCTCGAAATTAAATATCGATATTAATTCGATGTAAACAGCACGCGGTGCTGCATTCAATGTATTAAACCAGCCCCGAAATTATTTTTCATACAATGCATTTAGGTTGATATTACGAGAGCACGTGTATCCGGGTATCCTATACAATGAGTTTTTTTTATCTTTGATTTGCGCACACTGAGCCGATTAAATTGATCGTTTATCGCGAGATCAGGATGTATACATTTAAGCGTTAGCGATAGCTTTGGATTAAACAGCGTGTTTTTGCGGAAGGCGCAGCTATCTTTGCGCGAAATCTCACATTTCAATTACAATATCTGTACTAATAATAATTACTTGAATCCTATTTCTTGTGTTCACCTGTGATAAACATAATTATTAAAATCCAGAAAATTACAGGCTTACCGTTCTTCCTCGTTCTTATAAACCGTATAGTTTCTTATTTCTTAGATATACAAACACACATGGGTGTTTTCAAACAGCTTTAAAACTTGTTCTCGTTATCGTTACTTTTGATCGATTGCTATTAATAATGAGGGCAAAATTTTTTATTACTGTCGTTAATACCACTCAATTCATTAAAACATTTTTAACCACTTTTTTATATGTATCATCGTATCAAACACGTCGCGAGTTACGATAAAGCCTTTTAATTCCTCTAGCGCGAGAAAGGCGCTCAAAAATTGCATCGTCCATCATTTTTATCGGAATGTGGAATGTTTTCCGTGAAGGCGCAAGATGGGAAACCTGTCGTGCGCTCTTCTGTGCACGAAGATGAGAGCGGAGGGATCGTAAATCGAGATGGCTGCTTCTGGGTGAATGAGGTATATGACAGCATCGGTAGGAGAATAGCGCGAGGAAAAATCATGACGGAAAAACAGTCTTGATGGCTTAAGCTACTTGTTTTCGGTCTTATATTAATCTACAAATTTAATTTTATCTATAATTTATTCTATAATTTTATCTATATTCTTATAATTTTATCTATAATTCAATTT